ATTATTATTATTATTATTATTATTATTATTATTATTATTATTATTATACACAAAAATGACAGTATACACAGCAAACGAGATAACCATGCTGGGTTTCGTATCACAAATCACTAGTTGAACACTTGCCAAGTGTTGAGGACTGCGTGATGTATCGGTGGATTATGCGAGCAGATCCCAGTAAGGTGTCCTTCTGCAGCTGACCAATGGTGATCTTGTCAGCGCCAATTGTTTTTAAGTGCTTGCCTAGGTCTTTAGGCACAGCACCCAGTGTGCCGAGTACCACTGGAACCACCTGCACTGGTTTATGCCAGAGTCTCTGCAGTTCGATTCTCAAGTCCTGATATCTGGTGACTTTTGCAAGTTGTTGTTGTTGTTGTTGTTGTTGTTGTTGTTGTTATTATTATTATTATTATTATTATTATTATTATTATTATTATTTTGTTACTACATTTTCTCGCATCTTTTCCTTAGGGTGAAGTGGGTGAGGCAGGCCTACCAGGAACACCTGGACTTCCAGGATCTGCTGGCCCTAAGGTAACGGTCAGATGTTCATCTTAACAAATGCTCACTGGAGGTTTTTAAGAAGAGATTGGATAACCAGTTGTCTGAAATGGTCTAGGCCTAAGCAGGGGGTTGGACTAGAAGATCTCCGGAATCCCTTCCAACTCTGTTATTCTAATTCTAAAAAAGCACCCATACAAAATAGTTGAGATTGAGGGGAAGGAACATCCCTCCCTGGGAGCACCTGTGGCCGAGCAGGATTACAACCTGAGTCTTCAGGACACCAAGCAACACCTTAGTCAAGATACCACACTCGCTCTCTGCATGAATTGCTGCATTAATTTCAAAAGGCAACCAATGACTCAGTTGCTTGTCATGTGTCTGGATCGCTCTGAGGACACTTCCAACTTTAAAAAACAAAAAATCAATTCCCAACCTTTTCATAGAACTATAGAGTCATAAGACTGGAAGGGAACGTGGAGGGCTTCTAGTTCAACTCCCTACCTTACATCATCCCAGACAAGGTTTTCCCGAAAACCTTCCACAATGGAGTTTCCACAACTCTGGAAGACAAGCTATTCCATCCATTAATGAATCCCTTCTCACCGTCAGGAAATTCCTCTTTATTTCCAGGTTGGATCGCTTCCACCCATTGCTTCTTGTCCTGCCCTTTGATGCTTTGGAGAATAAACCGGCCCCCTCTGTTCTGTGATAGCCCTTCAAGTATTGGAAGGGGGCTATCATGTTACCCCCCTGATCCTTTTCTTCGTTAGGCCAGACCGCACCTAGTCAACAAACCTCATTTCAAGAACAAACCTCTTTCACTTTGCACCCATTTGATGTGGCAGCTGAGTTGATCTGGTTTCCTCTTTACTTCTCCATCTCTTGTTTCTGAATGTGCTTTTTCCACCTTTGTCATAGGGGAAAAAGCCAGACAGTAGGTAGCCTGAAGGTAGGCATGGAAATACTTTGGGGTCAATTTTGATACAGGGCACTTTGTTACTTAAAATAACGCATTGTTATGAAAACCACAGCCCTGGGCAGACTTACTTAATGGCAAAGGGATCTGCCTTCTGTTGCCATTTGATTAACCACAAGCAGATATCCCGTGTCTTATTTCCACCACGCACAAAGGCCTACTCAGTCGAAATTTACCTCAGAAGGACTCCTTGGAATTTGACTCTGAGCAAAAGTCTCTCCTTTGACCACTCAAATCGGCTGATGATTTCTTGTCTTCCTGCACTTTTGGGGGGAATAGGATTGAATTTTTTTTTCCTCAGAAAGCCTGGCTGGCTGACACACATCGAATCTTTCTGGGGTCAATGTTGAGGTTTGGCACGTTCCTTTCTCTTCTTTTAAGACTTAGGACTCTTTGAAAAGCTAGCCTGATTTCATGCCCATATGTTATTTATTCAACTGAAATCTATATTGAGCCCATACAATTTAAATATATTACTGTCCTTTTTTTTAAAAAAAAAAAAAGCATCTTACCATTTTGGCTAACATTCACAAAAGGTGAAGGAAAAATTGCCTGGCCAGAGTTAAAATGCCTGCTTCTCATATATCATAAATGCAAATGTGAGGGGTTTGATCTAAAAATGGAAATGGATGCTTTTTGTTTTTCTTCCCTGCTCCCATCAGGATCTGCTTAGACCAACATTAGTTATATGATACCCATATTGCAGTAAAAGTCAGCAATAATTGATCCAAAACAGTCTTCCTTGATTTATCCCTTCATTTTCATGAGCAATCAAAACATGTATACTCCAATACAGGTCTTCTCCAAGTTGATGTCCTCCAGATGTGCTGGACAATAAATCCCATAATCCTTAACAAGCAGGACTGGGAATTGTAATTTAACATGTTGCCAAGCCACCAGATTTGAGAAGGCAGCATTAGTAAGAAAGAAAGTCCACAATGCGTAACATTCAGAGCAACTTAATAGGAAATGTGAATTTACACGTCAGTTAGGTTCTAAACTTGCCTAATTGATGTTCACTAAGGAACGAAAGGGTATGAAACTGTCTTCGCTCTAAAACTGGAGTACAAATATACAGATCTGTAAAGGAAATAGTAGGTAGTTGGACCGTACAAAGCACTGAAGGGGTGTTTTGCTCTGAGCGGTGTTCTCTTTGAAGCTATTCCATGAAGCAACGCAGCACACCTTCTAAAGAACAAAGGAAAACTGTCCCATTGCTTGTTTCTCATATCCCTCCAGGGACACCTTCCTCTACTTTCACCCAACTGGAATAAGCCTCGGCATCTGTGCAGAAGCCCCTCTCAGTTTGGGTCTGCCAGGAAGAGTCCACCCCACCCCCTTCCCCAAGGCAATATAAAGCCTTTTTCATGATGCAAATTGCATTACTGCTGCAGCTCAGTAAGACAGCTCAGTGTTGCCTGAACAGCTTGAAGTGCCATCAAAGCAAAAGTTTTCACAAAGATCTGGTTGGGTGAACAAGCATGCTAAATTCCTCTGTTGACTTCATTAGTGAACATCTGTTCCCCAGTTAAGATTTCCAGGCATGTTTGCTGTCTTCTGGGAAAAGCAGCTGTGATGGAGGGCATAGTAGATAAGCAATGATAACTATATGCTAAGGACCATCCACATCCTGCCACTGCTGATTGGCAACAAGCGGCAAACTCTTAATTTTCCCAGTCAAGCATCATATTACATCAGACTTCTATCTAAGACAATTCAATAGCTACTCAACTGAAGTATAAGTAAGTCTTAAAAAAAACAAGTGGATACAGATTAACAGTGTTGGAAGGGATCTTGTAGGTCATCTAGTCCAATCCCCTGTCCAAGCAGACCCTATACCATTTTTGATAGATGGCAGTCCAATTTCTTCTTGAAAGCTTCCAGTGATGCCGCTCCCAGAACTTCCGAGGGCAAGCTGTTCCATTGGTTGATTGTTCTCACTGTCAGAAAATTTCTCCTTATTTCCAGGTTGAATCTCTCCTTGTTCAGTTTCCACCCATTATTCCTTGTCTGGCTTTCAGGTGCTTTGGAAAATAGCTTGACCCCTTCCTCTCTGTGACAGCCCCTCAAATACTGGAACACTGCTATCATGTCTTCCCTGGTCCTTCTCTTCACTAGACGAGCCAAGCCCAGTTCCTGCAACCGTTCTTCATATGTTTTAGTCTCCAGTCCCCTAATCATCCTGGTTGCTCTTCTCTGCACTTTTTCTAGAGTCTCAACATCTTTTTTATAGTCTGGTGACCAAAACTGGATGCAGTACTCTAGGTGTGGTCTTACTAAGGCTAGTACTGCCTTTATCTGAAATTTTGTGTATTATATCATTGAGACAAGATATCAGTGGCCATCAAGAAGCCTAACAGACATTTATGGCCCTCTTCAAAGATTCTAACCAATTATAAATGATGAAAAACTGAATATAAGGGCTTGGAATGATGTGACGGGCGATGCAGTGATTTCTGTAAGGAATGGCACCAGAGGAAAAAGAGAAAGTATTACACTAATAATTTTCAGATTTAAAAAAACAACTTATTGTTTTAATTTGCAAACTAAGGATGTGACTTCTGTAGATCAGCTAGATGCTGCCACCTGCTGTCCAGCAGCCAAACTCCAGTCGTTTATAAGTTTTCCTTGGCCCCTTATTTTTATGAGAATGATGTGGCAGACTGTGTTACAGCGTCCACTCGGTCACAAAGATCACAGACAATGATTTTGCGAGGGTGGATTCCTTCTTTTTTTCTCTCTCTCTCTCAAATGCTCTTCTATTAATTACATCCAACATGAACCACGTCTTTAAAATTCAAGAATGCTGACTTCACGGATTGATGGGAATCTATTATTTTGTCCAGAACGTTGCTTAAATGTTTTTGAGATTGTTGTTCCAGCTGATTTGGTGGAGTGGACCATTAAACCCCCAAACACCACATTTGATGGTATGATTTGAGATCCTTTTCGATATTATGAGCCTCGGTGGTGCAGTGGTTAGAGTGCAGTACTGCAAGCTACTTCTGCTGACTGCTGGCTGCCTGTAATTTGGCAGTTCGAATCTCACCATGCTCAAGGCTGACTCAGCCTTCCATCCTTCCGAGGTGGGTAAAATGAGGACCCAGATTGTTCGAGGCAATAGGCTGACTCTGTAAACCGCTTAGAGAGGGCTGTAAAGCATTATAAAGCGGTATATAAGTCTAAATGCTATTGCTATTATCAAACGCCACCTACCTTAACATATCTTTGATGTAGTTTCGGGACTCTTCACAAACTTTCAGATAGAAGGAAAGAAAGAAGGGCCAACCCATCCAACATATTTGTTGGTTTCCACATGTTCCTGCAAGTTGCCTATTATTTATGAGCAGCTGAATAAAAGACATGCGAGTTATGTACAACAGGTTTCTGGAGAATTTGACTCCGAAAGCCCAGCTAGTTTGGTAAATTTGAAGACATACAGCTTCTTAATGCAGGCTTTTCAGTGAGCTAACAATCAGAAAGTAGTGCATGTCACATAGTAATAAAGTGTCCCAGCCCCCATAAAACATTTAATTTTAAAAAGGATGCCAACAGGAGATGCTCTGTTCTTGGGAAAACTTCAGTAATTTTCTGAACTTTCAAATGAAATCTTCTACTGTCCCCTGGTGGTTTAGCAGCAGACATTATCTGTCCATGTCATATTTCAAGTTTGCAATTGATTTATGCAGCTTCATCTTTGGGGTAGTCACCTTGGCGTGAATTTTGCTACTTGTTGCAAATATAAACCCGTTGCTTCCATATTTTGCAAAGGCAGTTTTGTTCTTCCTAATTGCTACTCTTAATCCTAGTAGATTACCTTTCATCTTCTTTGCCCCAATTGTTTTTGATTATAGTGCTGTCAATGCCATCTAGGTCTCTTGTGTTTATTGATAACTCTATAACAGTCTCCCTGAATGTAGCAGTTATATGTCAACAAAATCATGTATGTGGCTACCAAATTAAAAATGCAAATGAAGTTGGATATGATTAAGGCTAAAAACAAAAATGCTGGTCATTATTACCCTAAACTAGGGGTGTCAAACTCACATCGTCA